GCGATACAAGGATATCTGCAGGCAGAATCTGAAGGCTTTAGGAATGGACCTCAATAGATGGGAAACCCTGATATCCGAGCGCTCAGCCTGGAGGCAGGCACTGCATCACGGCCTCTCCCAATTTGAAGAGACACTTGTTCAGCAGGCTGAGGCAAAGAGGCAGTCCGGAAACCAGCAAAATCAGGGAGCTGGACAGGGGACAGACTGTATTTGTCTTCAGTGTGGAAGGGATGGTCATTCTCGAATGGGCCTTCTCAGCCACACTAGACGCCGTTCCAGAGCATGTTACTATAATTTCTCAAGACTGAAGGATGCCTACTGTGCTGTCCTATAATAAATGGGACTGAGAGAGACCAAGATCTGTACGGGGTGCAGCACAAGACTGCAGCTAAGCAAGTCAGAGGCTGGTCTCTCCTTGAATGGGAGGCCACCCAGTAGGGTGAATGATTTTCAAGGGTTTGTGGGTAGCACATAGCCACCCCTGGACCTCGGAGGTCCACCCCTTATCCCACACCCACCTATCCCCACACATTTTTCTTTTTTACAATGGCTTTTACAAAAGCTTTTTTTAAAAAATTGAAAAAGCCTCTTCCCTCCTTCCACATGCCAATTTAAAAAACAAAAAACAAAAAACGTTAACCAAAATAATTTGAGACGCTGAGGGATCCAGAGGTGCTGGTAAAGTATGATGACATTACCACCCACACTCCTTTGTGGGTGGCAAGGTAGCTTTATGACCAGAATGGCCAAAACCCTGTTTGAAAGCTACACTGGTGTAAATGCAATGGCATACATTTCAGCAGCAAAGTGCCACTAGTTAATGAGCTTCTGCCTACATTCTTCGTGGCACCAACTCATGCAACTGACATGTGATGATGAGGGATGAAAGTGGCATTTCTTCTGTTTATTTTATTTCTTTGCTGCCCTTTTTCTAGTATAGAGACCAAAGACAGCTCAGAAACAGTTAAAAATTCCCCCTTAAGTAACTAAACAGTACAGAGAGTCATTGTGGCTTACATCCAAGACTGAGAAAAAGGACAGCTATTTACTAGTAAGCCTGAATGCTCACAACAGTGACAGCAATCAGCACAGCACGACAGCTACCCCTGATATTGATTCAGTGGATTGGTAAAAATATCCACCTTCCAAATATTCACTTTTACAATGTCAGTTGTTTTTGCAATAGAATGAATTCTCTCGAAATAATATGCAGCATCATTACTTTTTTTCCACTTTCACTAAAGTGTTCTGAAAACAGCGAGGTCATTTGCATAGACTCATGACTCTCAGCATAAGAATTATCCTCGCATCCTAGCCAATCTGAACTGAGGGCAGAGCTCATTAGGAATGCAAGAGAGACTAGAACTAGAATCAAGAATGTTTGTGGCCTGGCTGTGCGATTTAACCTAGCCAGCTAACCTGAAGTTTCACAACTCAAGCCCTTGATTCTGTCTGTTCCTTGCTGATCACAGCAGATTTGAGAATGGGACCTCTACTCTTAGGGCTTGGGGGCTTGACCAAAATTTTATTTATTTATTTATTTGTTTTATTTATATCCCACCTATCTGGTCGGTTAAGACCACTCTTAATAAGCATGCATATATCCTAAGAACTGCTGTTTGTTGCCTTGCAGTGAGCTGTCTTTCTCATAATGAGAAGTATTCTGGGGTGGTTTGGTCTTGGATGAGCAGTTAAACCCATTAGCATTAAAAAAACATCCGTTCATGGTCTTTTTTGGAGGTGAATACAACCAGACTTGGTATGCTGGTGTGATTAAACACAGCTGCCTACATTTCTGGACTCTCCTTGAGAATGTGGGTAACAAGATAATTGCTTGTGTATTCATCAATACTCCAATGCATGTGAGTGCATACCTTAGCTAATTCTGGCTTTCAAGTTGCCCTGCATGGCCATAGGGAGCCATCTTACATAGACCCAGGCTAAAAAAAGCATGAAAAGAGCTGTCAAACCTGCAGGTCTATCTTGAAGAGAGCCATTTACTCTTTCCAGCAGACAAAGAAGGTCTTTCCTAGCCCTCCACCCACATTTAGACCTCAAATCCCTCTTTAGGCTTAGAAGGAAGAGGCATGCACAACCTCAATCTTCATGACTGACAGGCAGCAGAACTCCTGTAAAAGCTTTGCCTGTTACCTCTCCCTGGTCCATAGGGTGGCCATCTGTGCATTCCGCAAATTTGTGTTTTTAAACTACAACTCCCAGAATTCCCCTAGCTTGGGGAAATTTTGGGAGCTGTAATCCCAAAAGACAAATGTTTTCTTTTAGAGACCACATTTTCCTCCTCCTTTCTCATAGGGGAGCTTGCACCTGTGCTTCAGAGGCAAGGAGACAGGGAAATGGTGCCACTTGACTCAGATGCCAAAACAGCTCGTTATGGCTCTGACCTTTTCCTATCATCATCATCACCATCATCAGTCCTACCACAAAACAACAACAAAAACAACAACAACTAGAAACCCAGAGATTTTATTGGGGGGGGTTGAACAAAAACATGAATTGTAATTCACCAATTCTTTCTGTGTCTCTCTCCCCCTCTCTCTGTTGGTTTCTTTTTTGGGGGGGAGGAATGTATAGAAATGTAGAAAATGCAGTTCACGCAGAAGGGAAGAAAGATAGGACAAAATAAATGTAGATCTGCACCCCGGTTATTTATTTTTGCTATTGACACTATCACTATTACTACTTCTCAAATGTTTCAAGAGAGAAACAACACATTGCACATGGGTACAGAAAGGAAAGTAGCAAGGCTGATAGATGTCGTTCTGTAACACTAATACAGTTGCGGATATGCATTCTTCAAGTTTCCAAGAACTACTTCATATTTTATTACAGCTAGGATATAGTCCATTGTAATGAGTTTGTAGAACACTTCAGCCATTAAATTGCTCCAACATGAGTTCTACATTAAGAGCAGTTTCTGCAGTGATGACCAAGGTATGTGATTGTCTAGCATTCTTGGATGAGCTTCACAATGTTCAAATTGAGGATATGAGCAAACTACTTGGACAAGTGAGGGTTACCACCTCCTCATTAGTTTCCAATCTTTTTTCTTTCTTTAATAAATTCTTAAGAGTGAGTGATGGCAACACACAGTAGCTCTAGATTTCTCCCTCTAAGTTGCATGGGTGTGTGGCTATGCAGCACTGTATCGGTGCCACACACCCACAGTTAGTGTTGCCACTCATTTGGTTCCAATCATGGCGGGAACTTTGCATGAATGGGCAGGGTTTCCACTCAGAGTTGGTGGAAAATTAGAGGGCATGTTGTGCTCAGGGATTACTGGTTAGCCTCTTTGGTCTATGGGATTCCCCAGGGGTCTTTTTCATCTCCTTTGTTTTTTAAAACCCACATGAAGCTGCTGGGAGGAATTATCTGGATTTTACCAGGATGCTTGTGACACCCATCTTCATGTTCTCTTCAACTGATTCTAAGAAAGCTATGGAAACCCTGAACTCTTGCCAGGATAACATAAATGACTGGATGAGAGCTAACAAGCTGAGATTCAGTCCAAACACCAAAGGTTAGATGTTCCATAGACAAACCAATGAAGGACTGGGAATGATCCTATCCTATTCAGTTCTGTACAGGATTGTAGCCTCTTTTGAAGGAAGATAGTGAGCAAAGTGCTGTCTTGGAGTCACATGCAACCCCATAAGACTATTTTTGTGGCTCTCTAGCCTTCCCATAGGCCTTTTTTGTGTTTCGTCGAAAGTTGGATGGATGCTCCTGCAATCCTGCACAAATGCCCGTTCACTTCCAGTTTCCTTTGTGTGTGTATTCTTTAAGCATTTTAGACAGTTTGTACAGACACTGGAGGGTCCACAAGGCTGGGAACTGGCCCTAAAAATTGTTCTTCTCGACTGAGCATTGCTCCTGGATTTAGAGGTGGTGCTATGGTCAGCAGTACTTTCTAACCTGCTCTTTCTAACTGGTGCCCCAGATGAATATCTTCTTAGACCGGACGGGTCTGGCTTCAGTGATCCATGCTCTTATGATTTTCCACGTACTGCAATTTAATCTATGCAGGGATGCTTTAAAGAGTGTTCAGATAGTGCTGCTGATGCAAAATGCTTCACCTAAATTGCCTTCTGGAGTGTGCTTTAAGTCCACATTGCACCAATCATACACTAACTGCATTTGCTTCTGATTTCTATGTGGACCCAATGCAAAGTAGGGGATTTTGGGGTACCTCCTCAATAGGTCAACATGGAGCATCATTGTGCTATCTTCATCTCTTCTGTAACTCTCCTCTACACAACCAAGGACAACAGCAATGAACACAGAGAAGTTTGGCCAATCTAGTCTTTCCATGTCCGCTGTACTTCGCTCTGCCAGCATTATTTTGCCAGCAGAATGTTTTAAGTACGTCCTAGCATGCACAGTAGGAAATTGGGTGAAGAGAATCCCTTTCTCTTCACTTGCATATTTGGCCATTACCTATGCCTGACACAGGTCCACGGAGCCAATCAGGCCTATAAAGTTAGAATAAAATGAGGGGGCAAAAAGGAAATGGCACATACCCTGGTGCATCAGCAGCCCAAACTGGTTACAGGCGAGCAAGAACATACTCTTCCTACTGAAAATTTCAGAAGAAACGACAAAACAAGCCTTATATTTTGCAAATGTCAATGGGTTCCACCTTCAACTAGATCAGTGAAATAAAAATCACTGCACTACCTGTTCATAAGACAATGTTGAATTTCTGTCATCCATCTTAGCAAGGATAACAGAGGTGAGTATGTGTTTGAGAAGCAGTAGACTTTAAAAAATTGCTCTTATCACAACAGACAGGCAGCTCGTAATACACATATTGATTTCCCCTTGTTATTTTTCCTTTTCTTCTCCACTGGAGAAGGTGCTCTGGCCTCACCAGGCCTCTTTGTGCAACAGCTCATGCTAAAGAACATCAAAGCCATTTTTGTATGCTTGAATGCAACCCTCTCCCCACCTCCCACGTGGCTCCTTTTCAGAAGGTCTCCTACCTTGCGTGAGTAACTGGAGGTTTCGGACCTCCTCCCTCACTTTCAGCTGAAGGACCTGCTGCAGAATGTGCTGCCGTAAGCTCTCCTGCGCAATCCCCATCCGCTCGAGCTTTTTGTCTGTGAGCCTCAACAATGCACGGCCTGGATCCAAAGAGAGAGAGAGAGAGAAATTACCCACGGATTTCTATTTAATGAATAAAACTTCTACATGCTGTAAATGTCCTTATTCCAGCAGATAAAACCTGCCTGCCTCACTAATATTATCCCCTGTGAAACAATTCGAACCACAATGGGATAGAGGGAGGGGGAAAGCTTAAAGCATACGTCGGTTCAGTGAGTTAATTAGCTTCCACTCAGGAGATCAAGGTTCTGATCCAAGTAATAATGTCATCAGAAGGGAGGGAGAGAAAAGAGCTTGTGTGGGCTTCACTGAACCTAAATATGGTACAAAATGAGACATGCCAGCTTCCATGTTCCGGTAAAAGGGGACTTGTGGGGAACTCCGCCGCCATAACCAGAGCTCTGGGTACTATATTTTAAAAGGAATTTGTTGAGTTACTATTACTTCCTTGCAACCAGCTTGCTGTTATTGTTAGCGTTCCTCTGCTTGTGTAAGTAATTTGTTGCACTGAGCACTACTAATGTGTTGGGTTACCATTACTGACAGGCCAGAAAAAATACAGGGAAATACTCTATATTTCCCCCCAGTGACCAATTTTGATATTGTATCTTTGGAAATGTTTTATACGAACACAGAAGATGAAACAAAATAACATTTCCCTTGCCGCTTCGTGAGAGAACATTATAAAATCGGGCACGGGAAGATCCTCCCAAAATGGCTCTAAAAATGCCTCACAATTAACTTTATAAGCAACCTGTGAAAGTATGTAGGTGTTATATCCATGTAATTGGGGGTTACTCGTCAAACTTGAAAAGTTTTTTGTGACTAGAAGCTGTATTATTTAAAAAGTATCACATTATATGTAATTATAATTACTTCCATGTTCTGGCCATAGAATTGGCCACTAGAAAAAAAAAACATGCTTTATACAGAAGGCCCCAGGCCTACACCCTGATTTCTCCAGTATTAAACCAGGGGAGGGAAAACACTGTCCTTAATCTCATTTCAGGTGGCCTTGCCCTACTATCAAAGGCTTTTAAGAATGAAGAGAGAGAGAGGGAACCTTCAGAACATGGCCAAAGAGCCTGAAAAACTCACAACAACCAGAGAGAGAACAGTTTAGTGATCTATCATCCTCCCTTCCCAGCAGCAGTTTAGGTGGGAGGAAGAGAGAAGAGCAAAACGGGTAGCTGAGACAAAATGTGGTTTCTACTGGTTTTGGTTTCATCCAGGCACAGGCTTTAGGCCTGCCTACCACCAGCATGTGTGACATGACAGATTATTCCCTAGGGAATGTGGCTCTCAAGATTAAGTAAATTGTCTACTCCAAGTTAAAATGCAGAGGTAGAAGGTGATGGAAGAGATGTCTGAGGGAGATCTTCAAGAATCAGTGCTTGTCCAAGCAGGCAACACTGGACTGGATGGACCAACACTCTGATTCATTATAAGACTCATAACAGTAGACTGAAGGCAAACTAAGTGATCTCCAGATGATGCTCAATGAAATCACTTGAAAAAGTAAGTTATGATTAACTTAATCTCATTTATTTCAGTGGGTCTGTTCTGAGCATGACTAAGTCTGGACCAAACCATACACACACTCCAACAACTCATACTCTATTGCATCATTGTGATGCAGAGGTGAATTTGGGCCTTTGAAGGCTACTCAGCTTCGTGAAAACTCTACATGTTCTACAGGGCTCTGGATCCTGTACTAATAGCAAGCTGCATGTCTGCCATCCAAGGACGGGTCTAGCCGAAGACAGAAAGGCTCTGCACCAGAAAGTCTGCTAACAAGTGATGAACTGGCCACAGCAGCTATGTGATTACGTAGAACTGGATAAAACAACAGTCATCTATATAGGTGGATGGTGGATGTACTCAGACGGAATCTTAGATTGTAAAAATATTCAAAATACATGCATGCAAACATGCATTCACTGATACACCCCACCTTTGGACAACTAATCTGCCCGTCGTGGTAATCTACAAACTTGAACTTTCTGTGTTTATTGTATTTGAATTTGAAACGATCTGAGGACATATTCAATAAAGTATCTATCTGTCCATCCATCTATCTAACTTAAACAGAAAAACAGTAAAGCAACACGAAAACAAAAATAATAAAAAGTACTAAAACAAACTTTGAAAAAAACACATAGAAACAGCTGCAAACTGATATTTGACAAAAAGCTTGTAAGAACAAAGAGCAGTGCTGACAGCTCTGGCTTAATGGGGACAATCTCGATTTGACCCTCAACAGGAACCAGAACCTCTGACCTTTGCAGCCTCCACGTGCATCCCTTCAGTTATCACGAGAAGGGGTCAAATTGGGCTAGGGCTCCACTTAGTACAACCCTAAGCCCAACCCCTGAATGTAACGAGCTAAAAACTAATTTTCAGTCCATTATTTTTCTGATGAGAAGAAAACACAAGTCATCCAACACTGTCAAGAAACTGCTGAATGGAGAAAGGAAAGAGTTAATATGAAAATCATGATTACTGGAAGCGGTTCAGTAGGTAATTTACTGTTCTGATGGGAACTGCATCGATCCTTTACAAGTCTTGGATATAAAAGACTGTTAAGACAGTTCTGTTTTTCAGCTGAACATATTTGGGAGGACCTGATTATTTCAATGGGAGGAAATAATCATAGCTTGAATTCCCAACTGAAGTATAAATTCAAGCACAAATCATATTAGGCTGCTTTGCAAATGTACTGTAAAATGTAAGACAGCCATTTTTAGAGCTCTCAGGAAGGACCAAGCAGACCTACAAAGCAAATTAAGCACAAATCTAAATCTTTAAGAGACAGAGCCATAAATCTACATTACTTGTCCCATGTTCATCTACAGACCTATTTCCTGGATGTGCTAACTGTTCAACAAGCATACAGTATATCCATATAACATATGCTATATAAACAGGTATGTGATCACTAAAGAAATGCACCAATTGAGGACTAGCTTCTATTGCTTAGTTCTACTTCCCTTCCCTTTTCCCATGCAAGGCGAAGTCTTCTACACAGTTCAACTGGACAGACCTGGCAGATTTATGAGATCTGTGTCACACAAACAGGCTGCAAAGTTTCTTCTGCTTGAGAAGATTAAAAGTGCATCTATCAACATATTAGATTGTATTTAGCAGCAGCTGGGCACACTGTCCATGTTAATTTTATGTTGCACAGAAAATAATCCACATGCGGAACACAAATCAGGGATGGGCAGAAGATCAAAATTTCTTTTCCAAGTTATTCAACAACTGCCAGAAGCACCATTC